AACTCCTAAAGACAGGCAGAAAGTATCTTCAGAGTGTCAGAGTGAGGGGTACAGTTCAATCAAGCAAACACAGAATGAACCCTACTTGTGTAATTTAGATAAATGTTAAGTATACAACACTTCAACACACAGCATCTCTGAACATCCAGCAGCATGATGTATCTTCAGCTGAACTGAGGATGTGTAACAGTGGTTTCCACTGCACTGTGGCCACTTCTATTCTTTTTCTTTTAAATATCCAGCTTTCAGACTAAATTAAGTATTTTAAAAGGTGAATAATTTTGTTTTAACAAAACATTGAACTAAAATATAGTGTAAATTGCTTCTCTTTGGCACTGGCAATCAGGAAGAAATAGGACAGCAATGTGAGTGCTGTCTATCTGCTGGCAAAGGGGCAGAAGATGAAAAAAGGCAGTTGTGTCAGTCAGCAGATACTACTATTCGAAAGATTCTGAGTTGATTTTTCAGGAGCATGTACATATACTACAATGTATTTTAATCTGGATAAAAATATCTTCCTACACCTGTACATTTCAATAACTTTCCTATCAGCCTCATCAAAGTCATTTTCAGCTTCCTTCAGTTCTTCAAAATTCATTCTTTCATACGGTTTCACTACAAACAACAAACAAAAAATTAGTCACCTTTGTTCTCCAAAGTGTCTACAAACATTTTAAATGTATGAAAAGCATTACACAGACATGGAACTAACGAAAGAAAAAGAAGTAGTAATTTCAGAAATTAGCTAACTTGGCCATAACTCTGGATAAGAGAGAGGGAAAAAAGAAGAGACTTATTTAACTATAACTATACAGGAAGATACAGAAATGTAGGAGTGGATCACTACCAATTTTTCAGAATGTGAATCTTGTTTATACTGACTGGTTTCACTATTAAAATTTGTTATCCATACATGTTACATGCCATAATGTTTGTCACTAGCTGTGTTGTATGTTAAATTCATAATCCTTTTTAAAATAACAAAGTGAAAATAATTAAAATTAAAAAATAATGATTGTGCAGTGGTTAAGTTACAACAAGCATTATTGAAAATACCCCCACTTTTCAAATTTTATTATACTAATGACATATATTTTAATTTTACTTGCCTTCTGCTTCTTTCTGCAAGTGTAAAACCATTTCCTCAGTTTCGTCTTATCCTTTTTCTTTTGGAGGAAGAATTCCAAAATGTCTCAGTATGTCATTCCATTCAGTGTCTTCATTTGGATCCTATTTTAATATTATGAAACAAAATTAAATCAACAAATCAGTGTTATGTGCATTTTTATAAACCAAAACCAGCCCTTTTTCACTTTGGCATGCATTAAGGATGTAACAGAAGGAAACCATTACTCAGAGGCTGCAATATCTTCATCAACCATTCTCTAACATGAATTTTCAGTTGTCAGCTTTCACTTCTGAACAGAAAATAGCAAGAAAACAAGAGAGAATGAAAACTCAAAATGTAAGCATAGATAAAATAATCAGTCTGCAATATACCAGATTAAAAAATATCTAAAAGATATATGAAAACCTACTTCAGAAACTAAAAAGTATACACTGTTTACTTAAACACACTTAAAGAAATACAGCTTTACACAGGCAAGATTTTTGTATCAGTCTTTTTCTGTTACTAATAAGAATAAGGTATGGACACTGTGAATAAGTATACAAAAGCATGCCTAAAATCAGAAGAAAAAGACCTTTTTATTTGAAATGAATTATTACTATTAATGTGTCAACATAAGCTACATCCACCATGTTTGTAACACAGGACTTCTGTAGGTGTTAAGTCTATGTTTGTAGTAATTTAATTACACAGTTAAGATAAAGGAACTGCATGCTATGTATAAGACTGAATTTCTACTGAAATTATCACATTAAAGTAATCTGTTTATTTTAACTGGACTGCTGTTGGACTGGTAGAATAGGAGGCCGCCTACATGCAAGTTTGAGAACCCACTGCCTGGATACCATCAATCCTTAAATGTAAATAATATTTCTGACAAATTTGATTTGTGGTTCTTTTCTTTTTTTTTTCTTTTTTTTTCTTTTTTTTGTTTTTTTTTTTTTTTTTTTTTTTTTTTTTTTTTTTTTTTTTTTTTTGTGTGTGTGTGTGTGTGAATGACATGGAACAAATTCTCAAGAGTGTTTTTAAAATATGTTACACCTACAATCATCCAGCTATCAAACTGGAGTATTTTGTTTTTCAAACAGGACAGTAATGATGGTTAATTCTTAACTGTTAGAGTTTCCTGATGTACTCTCACGAGAAAACCCACATAAACGGCTCTCCCATCTGCCATTTCTTGGGACGCCCACACAGGATCTGGGCAGGCCATGCAGGACCAGGGCAGTGGGCCGGCACTCTCTGCCCTCCAGGCCCTGCAGCAGGCTTGGCCATGCAGAGGAAGCCCTCCCGGCAGCTGGCTTTGCTCTTGCCCTCCCCACCAGCTTGCCTTTCTTCTCTCCTCAGCCAGCGGGCACAGCAGTTGCCTCAGGCAGCAGGACAGGCTCTTGCAGCACCCCGCACCTCCCTCAGCTCCAACCGCTGACCACCTGCAGCCTTCCCCATTTCCTTGGCATCCTCGCCCCAACTCCCACATCGCTCCTAGTCTCAGCTACTGCCCCACCAGGACAGCTTGGGGCTGGGTTGACTCTCTGTGCCCACCTGCATGGCTCTGCCGGGGCACTGCCGCTCCTCACAGAGGTCACTAGCCTGACCCAGTGGTGGCAGGGTAGCAGCAGCCGTTGGGCAGGGCCACCCTGCCCTCACCGGTTCCCACGGCCGTGGCCTGAGGCGGGAGGGAAGCGGGGTGGCAGAGGGCCCCAGCCCTTTGACCCATCAGTCGCTGCTGGCAAAACTGACCCTGTTTAAAAATGTTTCGTAAGAAAAAAAACCCAAACAAACAAACAAAGAAAAAAACTACAGGGCGCACTTCCAGCCTGGGCCACTTCAGGTGGAGGTTTGGTGCTGGGCTTGGCTGTGGGAGGCAGCCCGCTTCCCCGCATTGCCCCTGGCCATGGCCTCCTCATCCAGCTGCCTGCTTGAGTGGAAGCTGTTGGCCGTGGGCTGGTAAGGCAAGTCAAGGGAAAAACTTAAACAAATAACCTAATTTAATACAATACAATAGAACAAGTGTTTTGCAGCCAGACACATTAGTTCTGAGCAGGGGTCATACAGAACTGGATCCTCAGTTCACAGCACCAGTTCAGCTGGAGACACAGCAAACTGCAGAGTGAAAACAAGTGGGCAAGAAGAGGAAAAGGACTTCTTAAGCCAGTTTCCACCTCCAAGGCTATCCATTTTCCCAGCTACCTTCTGAAGTTCAGCTACTCATCCAAGCTTGCAGAAGCAGGAGTAGTAATGCTGAGGGCAATTCAAATTATGACCAGGCAATACAATGTTAAAAGTAATACTCCACTTTCACACTGAATGATTAGTTACTTTCAACATAATTACAGCCTCAACATTGTATTTTAACACAATGCTTGTGTGAAAACAAAGTCAGAGATAGAAGCTAGGAAGATCGTGAGACTAACTTGTTCTTTTGAGTGGAGTTTCTTTAAGTCTACTTGAAAACCAGTTGAGTTTTCAAGTGAATCCTAATTCTGCAAGAATGTAAATAATGCAATTAAGTCTTCTTCTTAATGACAACCACACTGTGTCTATGTTCTTAACAGCTAAAAAAAAAAAATGATGCTATTGTATTTCAGTTGAATTTAAGTCAAGGTATTTCTTCAAAACATGCAATTTGTCAATTTCCTTTCATTAAGGGACTAGAGATTCTTTTTTTTTTTTTTTTTTTTTTTTTTTTTTTTTTTTTTTTTCAGCCAATGAAACACTACTAACTTCAAGGTTTTTTGAGGACTGCCAAACTCCTTTATCATCAATGTAAGTTTTGTAGGCCACCTGCAGAGCACTTATCTTGACCCTGCAGACTGCCAGAAGCCCACAGGCTACAGTGAAGGAAGTACAGGGGCAGAGAACTTCATCTTGAAAACCAAACCATATCTTTTGTGTGGCCTGCATAGATGAGCTGTGATTTTAAAGACTGGACAAATCACTTACAATGTATTGTGAAAAAATGTAACAGTCTATGTTACAAACATTCTCATTAAGAAAACTCTTTGAGTGCCTTTATTTGTAAGGGGAAATAAATGTATGTAACAGTGCTGTTAGAGACAACGTCTGTTGCATGCACACACTGACTTTTTTACAGTTGCATTACACACAGTTATAAACATCATAACACTAGGAAACAAATAATTTTAATATGCTTTTAATATAACCAAGAAAGTAAGAAACTTTTGAATCCTTAACAGAATCTAGTTTATGAACATTTACATTCTAAGGATTTTTAATTGTACATTAGTAATGAATATTTTTTGTAAGGAAAACAGTATG